TAGTGCCGCTGTGATTATGCCAATGCCAGTCTCCCCCAAGAGTGCTCGTCTTGGAACAGATCCTTTGCGTTCATCCAGCGAGACATCTGTTCCTTCACCCATGCTGGGATACCTGGATCTTTGAGGATCCTTGTGTTGAGTCTGAACGGAGGCCTAACTTTTTCGAACTGTTCTTTTGCTAGTATGTCTAAGCACACCGGGTTGTGATCCGACAGGGATTCGTTCAGGACATCACACCATATGCTCCTGTCCCACGTCACCCCTCTTACTAGTATGAAGTCAAGTCTCCTCGTCGGTGGAAGGGTAGTGGGGGAAGGTTTAGGTCCATTGCAAGTGTGGCCTGGAGAGTCCGGAAAACATCTGTCATGCACTGGGCTTCCATGAACGAAGATAGCATGGTTGCATCGGTTCTAACTGTCGTTGTGACTGGGGAGTCCAATCCTGGGTTCAGGATGGTGTTCCAGTCTCCCGCAATTATGAGATTTTCCACATCGGGGATGTGGGCTGGGAGCGGATTCTGTCCGAGTAATCTGCCGGGGCATATACTGACATTATGGCCCATTCCTCGTCTGCGATTGCAAGCTTTACCCATACCCACCTTCCCCCCGGGTCCATATAAGAGTCCACAGTTTCTGCTTCAAGATCTTTGTGTATGAGGATGGCTGTTCCACCCTTCGAGCCGTCTGCAGGGGCCCAATATTGGGGCCCTGTCCACCAATTTCTCATGTTCGAAATTTTTTCTTCGCTCAACTTTGTCTCTTGAATGCAAACAATGTGAACGTTCTCTTTGTGTGACCAGGAAACGAGTCTAGCTCTCTTGTGACGGTCGGATTTGTCACCCAACCCTCTGAGGTTCCAGCTAGCAATCCTGATCCTATTCGGCAGGACCATCAGCGTGGTCGCTGCCGCTAGGATGTTGGATGCGGGCTGGCATCTCAGCGCCTGGGCCAGGAATGTATTCCTGGATGTTCACAAATTCGTGGAGATTTGGGAGAATACTCTCAGCTACCAGGGGCTCTTTGTATTCGGTGTGAGCCAACCATTCTGCTTGACTCTTAGCAGATATGTTTGGTGTAATTAAGATCTTCTCCAACAATTCTGAGGAGGGGGCCAGGAAGACGGATAATTTCACCCAAGAGAACCTTTCCTTGATCAGTGAGCTATCTGTCTCATTCAAGGACATCAGCTTCAGAAAGATGAAATGGATCAGGGTAGTGTCTTCTGTATCTGTGTCCACCTTGTGACGACCGGTTCTCAAAAGAGGTAAGCCAGCAACTGTTCCCACATCATTCAGCACCAGCGTCTGTGTCATATCAATGACTTGTGATTCCGTCGGCTGGGCTGTCACAGAACAGGAAGGGAGGGAAAGAGCACCCTCAACATTATACTTCAATAGGATTCCCTCCTCATTGCGAAAGTTGGCACAAATTAGTGGGACGAGGATTTGGGTCTTCCTTTTGTTTGTGCGTGAAATCGTTTTTATTGGTCCCGTGAAACTTAGAGAGACTTTGTCAGCTTTCTGCGAAATCACTCTTTTCCTTTTTTTCTGGGGAAGTGGAACAGACCTCTCCCTCCTGCAGGTAACTCCCCCTTTGGGGAATGGCTGACAAATCATTGGCTTTGAGTTTCCTGCACGGGACGGCCGAAAAAACAGGCTGGGCAGAGTTGCTTTGCTTAGGCCTATCCGCCTGTTTCCTGGGGCTAGACCTGGTTCCTCGTTTTTTCTTTTTTCTTTTCATTTTCCCCGGATGTCGTAGCTGCCTTAAACATCAGGGTGGGCGGATCCTCAGCTTCAGAGAGGGCTGGTCCTGGTCCCGCTGTCATTGGATCCCCTGATGACCTGACAACCTCGTTTCCCTCCTGCTGGACAGGGGGGGGGGACAGGTACCAATATGTTGGTTGGTGAGAAACCCATGAGTGCCTCATTTACTTCAGTTTTCAAGTCTTCGAAAATTTCAGTCGGGCTCGGGTGCGGGGAAATGACTCGGGAGGTGATGGGAGGTGTCCCCTGGGCGCTGGAGGAGGAGATTTCCATGTCCTGGGACCCTTGGCTGGCTGAGATCATGCCTTCCGTCCCTTTTTCTCCTTTTTTCTCCTTGATATCCGTTTGGGTTTTCCCTCCTTCCTCGATTTCCTCCTCCTCTGCCCAATCCTTGGTTCTCTTGGAATCGTCCGAAGAAGAGGAGATGTCTTTCGTGTTGGGGGTGGCCTCCTGTGTCTTAGCTTTCCAGGACAGCTGTCCTGTTTTCTTTTCCCCCCTGTTTCTCCTGTTCTTCAATTTGATCCCCTGATTCGGTCCGATTTTCTTTAGTCTGGGCTTTACGCCCTTTATTCCGTTTTTACGTAGGTCTATTAGGCCGTCCTCCTCCCCTGATTTCTCATCTTCGAGGATTCCCTTGGATGGGCAATCATTCTGAGTCCCTTCCCCTTGGTCATCCTTACCAGGGGGGGGGGGGGTGGTCTTGTCCTTTCTTCCCTCCTTTCCCTGGTCTGCAGGGTTGTTGTTTTTTTAATCATTGTTGGGTTTCCCCTTCACCACTACATCCCTGAAGCATGCCTTTCCGTACGCCTGTCTGGAGTGGACAGGACAGCAATCATCATTCTCCGAATGGAAGTACCTGCGGCACTTTCTGCACCAGGCAGAGTCTGTGCATGCAATGTTGAGATCGACCCATCCGTCCTCCTCCAGATCTATGATGAGATGCTGTCTGTACCAAACACGTGCTGCTGGTTCCATGTCAAATCTAATGTTCCACAGGTCAGGTGAAACAGGGTCAGCGAAAGCATCGTGAGTTTTTATGATTTTCCCAAATGCTTTTTGAGTGGCGCCTTTCAGATGGGGTAGGATGGATACGGGTACTTGAATAGCTTTCACCCAGAAGAAGCGATGTTTCTGGGCTTCATTCCATTCAAATAATTCGTTCTCGTTCATCCATGGTCTGAAACGGATGGAGAAAGCTTTTCCATCTAGATGGATCTCGTCAGTACCCTTTCTGATCATCCATGTTGCGATTTTACTGGAGCTGGCCACATATGTGATTAAGTTTTTGCCGTCACATCGAAAACCCCCTCTTTGGCTCAGTGTTCAGTCCGGCTTTTAGCCTGTAAGCGAAGCTGGATGATGCTTCCAGATATCTGATCTGAACCGGGAAGTAATGTAGAGGACCCCGGCCTCTGAATGATGTTATGTAATTGAAACTGAATTTT